AAAAAACCCACCCCGAGCACAAATATTCCGTTACTTTCGTATCGAAAGTCGGAACAACAACAAGCCTCATCGTATATCACGACCAAGCGCTGAATGTCTCGAATGCTTTTTAAGGGTAAAAATTTTAGCTGAAAAATTGATCAAATAATCGAAAGAAATTTTTTTAAAAAGTTTTTCATTTTTTCCCACACTCTATGTAAATAAACTAAGCTATCATTTTCCCCACACGCTTTGTAAATGTACCAATACCCACACGCTATGTAAAAGTACTAAGGCATGTGTTTGGCCTCTCGTGTCCTTATATTACGACTAACTACAAAATATATCGCGTGTTTATTATCCCGAATTGGCCAAATAAGCAATTTTACAACACCCATAGCTTTACTATAAAAAAAGGTATTTTTTTAATTTTGAGAGCACGACATCAATGTATTTCAAATGATTTAAAAAGAAATAGCTAGTTAAAAATGCAAAACATGTCTGGAGAAATAAAAACAAGCTTTAATAATCCGTACTTTCTTCGAACGTCGGACCAACAAGAACTAAAAACATACTTAGAGTCTTGTAGGAAAGTACTCGGACCAATTAAGGAAAGTACTCGGACCAATTAACTTCTTTGTGACAGAGGCGAAGCGGAGTTTGCATTCCTCTTAACAAAAAAAAACGTGAACTAAACTTAAAAAGAAGTCATGAGTCAAAACAGGAAAAAGTAAATTTAAGCCTCAACAGACTTAAGACTTTTTCCTGAAAACAAAACACAAAAAAATGGCCAAGACCGATATAAGAGTATTAACTACGTCCAGGATTCTCTAAAATTCAATCTCAGAAAAAAAGACGAGAAGCACAACCACAAGCATTAAACAAGCTTGCAGTAATTTCTGAGCGTTTATTAAGCCAACAGCAAGTAGTGAGACGCCAATTATTCCAAAAATAAAAAATGCCAAAGAAAAATTGTTATCATAAGAAAAACCATTATTTTATGGAAATGCGAAAAATTCAATCTCAGAAAAACATATGACAAACACGCTTTTAAGTTTTTGAGCGTTCATTAAGCGACAAGTAGTGGTTGGAAAATTAAAAAACTACAGGATATAATCAAATGCATTTGAGACTACAATTATAACTCCTTGCAAAGCAAAAAAAATTGCGATGTGGCAACTAAGCCGACAATATATACACCGACTATTCATTTTTCCCGGAAACAAATTTAATTTCAGACACTTAAAAAAAACAAGGTATGGCCAGGACTCGAAACCAAGACAACAGGGTGCGAAGGCAACCACAAAAAAAATCAGGCCAAGCGAGAAGGGGATTGGAAGTTGCTGTCAAGAATAAAGCAATATCAAACAACTTCAATTACAAATGCGTAAAAGAAAAAGTTTACGGGAAGAAAGTCTATATATCCCGATTACAAGACATTTACTCTTGCAAGTTTAAAGAACATTTGAACGTGTCATAATTTCGGTTAATTTTACATGCTAAAAAAATTCTGCTTCCGCATTAAGCATCATAGCTAAATGCAAAAAAGCGCATAATTTAGACAAAAGTGAGAACAAATGGCCGCCAAGTTTCTAACCTACAAAAATTACAGAAAATTTGAACAGTACAGAATAACTTTTTAATTGAGATCAAGGCGTCGATATTTTCGAAGAAGTATACCATTCTCGTCAAAATCTGTTATTTCGATAACCTTTCATCATAGGTTTGCACTAGAATAAGCAAACTGCGTTTGAAAAAAAAGACGGAACTTGCGATTTGCAAAGGACGCTTGAGAAAAAACATGCTAGGTTTTTTGAAAACACTAACACAGGTGAAACGTTATTCATAGGCCGAAATTTATTAAACCAATAAAAAATTAAAAGTGAAATTTTTACGAATCGAGCAGGTAAAATTACAACCAAGGTGAAAAACAAATTTCGATTCGGCCGGATTTTTTAAAAGCTAGAAACAACAGCATTGAAAACTGTTTACAGCTAAAATAAACGATTGTTAAATATGGCAACTAAGCCGACAAAACATAACCAGACAAATAAAAGGCTGAATCTTTTTGAACCTGAACCTTTACCGTTTGAAAAAAAAATTGGTCCTGGTCAGATGCTAACCCAGGACCTTTGCCGTCCTAGGCGTATTCGTTATCAATAGGCTAAGTGTACAAGAGTCACTACAAAATTTGAATTCATGGTGAACCAAGGTACCACCAGGAGCCCAATGAGTCCTGTGGACAAAGTTGTTTACGGGAAAAGTCTAGTACCCGATTGCAATACCATTATTACCGCATAGATAAAAAGGTCCCGAAAAACTGCTCAAAAAAAATTTCATACATTTGTCTCGAATGAAGTTCAACTTGAGAAAAACATATCTCCATCGATAAAACAAAAAATCAAAAAAAATTACAGCGCGGCAACTCAGCCAAACCACTCTTGGAATGAAACACAAATTTAGTTTCATTAGAACTGTGAAACACATCGACAAAGCGGAGCTTCGCACTACTTTTACTTCCAACACCAAGCCAACAGCGAAATTTAAAAGAGTCAATGAACGCAAATAAACAGAAAAAAATACCAATACAAAGCCAACAGACAGTTAGAAAAGAGTCAATGAACGCAAATAAACAAAAGACTTGTTTTTTAAAAAACATCTCAATTGTCAAACTTCAAAGAACAAAAGAGATGGCTTTATAGCTCTTTAAAATTCTACAACAATTCATGATTGACACTTTTTTGATAAAATTAACCCAATTTGAGAAACTGGATCAATAGATAAAACGTTTTTTTTTTGCTGGGAAATCTGATGTTTAAATTCCATTTTCGAACTCAGAAGTGCTTCAAGTTTTCGTGCACTTTTCATTTTAGATGTTAGATAGTGGAGTTTGCCTTTAATTGGACGAAGGAAATGAAGAACTTTAAAAAAAATTAAAAAAAAACCGCGAAAAGAATGAGCCTGAAAAAAGTTCAAGACTTTTCTTGAAAGAATAACAAAAAAATCATCGCTACCTATATAGGAGTCCGAACTTTGTTCAAAGACTCATAAAATGCATAAAAACGTACTTTAGTCAAAGAAAAAAATGAAAACCTTAGTCAAACAAAAAAATTTTAAAACGTCTAAAATAACCATATCTTCAATTATCGAATGGGCAATTTAATAAACACGCGTCCACCAACACAATTCCAGGTGACGACTAATTATTTACAGAGAGGCGAAGTAGCGCTTTGCAAACACTTGCGAGAACACGGCCAAAAAGCAGTCTATCAAGTGAAATAAGAAAAAGAAATAAGCCTCGAGTTAGCAAAATCTCGGCTAAGTGTAGGGTTCAAATCTGAAGCCTACTGCAATCAAGAGATTACGATTCTCACGCACTATCCGATCAGCCACGCAAGCTTAACAACCGACAAACACAAATCACGAATAAAGCAGCTACATATGTTAACAAATAGCCAATGCCATTCACCAAAAAAGGCACAAGAAATTTGCAAGTAATAATTTGAACACAGAGGCAAAGCAGAGTATCGCACCACTTGCGATACAACGCTAACACAAAAAAGAACATAAAATCGGAAAAAAATGAAAATTAATAAAAAAAACTAGGTCATGATAAACTTTCATATATCTCGATAGAGGTTCATTCTAGGCAAACATGCCTGACACTAGAATTTTAAGACAGCAACAATGGAACAAAAATTACGAAAAGAAAAAAAACCCGACAATCTTTGAGTTCAGCCGAAAAAAAAAAATGACTTCATAAAAAAAGTCCCAGCTTTAACAACAATGGACAAC